ATACCCTGGAGGATATACCGCATGCTCCGATGGTGCCATTAGTGCCTCATTTTTATACCTTTACCTCTCTACCGTCTCCCTTATTTGCTGTGCAGGTTAGGGCCAAAGGGTATCTAGTCATTCTGGTGGCTCTGGATTGACCTCAGCGATCCTGGTACACCAACGTGGTGCATCTGCTCGCAGAAATTCCGATGCGGCTCCCTCTGCATGATGATTTTTTTGTCGCAGGGACCGCTCTTCCCTCCTGGATACTGTCACTGGCCTTGTTAGCCTGGTTGTTAACAGCAGGGTTCTGAGAGACCGGGTTGCCTGACTTGTGCTTCCTGCCATGTTGAGTGTGCGTATTCTCACTTCTAAGAAGCCTTTCCTTTTGTATTTGGAAGGTATTCATTTCACGGTGTGTAGCTGAAGTTTGCACCGCGTACCTTCTCAGTGCCTTGGATTTTGTTGTTCTCCTTTGGGGTGGGGATCTGAAATTTGGCCTTGAGTGGAAGTCTCCTTTATAGGAATGTTTGGGATCTCCTTTTGCTGAAGACATTGTCCTGCTTCCCTTGTCTCCCCACCCTCCACATCCTGATGAGGTTGCACCGTGCCCTGTTGATGTGGTCTGTTTTTACCGGTCTGTTGCAGTTTCTTCCAGAGATTGGAGTTTCTTTTTGTGCCTGCAATGGCTCTGATAGGGCCTTGTGACCTCCATCTGCCATGATTCCCACTGGATAAGGCAGACGGTCATTTGATTTTCACCTTTAAGAGCTGGGCTCTTCCCTTCCTTGCCACAGCGCATCCAGCTATGGGATAATGCTTGGATGTGCGATTTCAGGCATCTGTGTCTCGAGCCTGTAGGCGGCTAGCTAGTCACCTATGTACATTTTTGCCATGTTTTGTGAAGTTGCTGTTTTGGGCATCGTCCGATGCGGGGTTTGGCAGCTGTATCCATCAATGAACAAAAGGGAAAACCAAGTTTTTTTTTTTTTGTTCTCACTGTTAAATCCCTTTCTCTGAGTTAATTGATGGACACAGCACCCACCCCTCTTTTCTTGTCTGTTACTTATTTGTGGCTAACTGAGCTGCCTGTAGCAGGGAGGAGGTTTACTACTAGCTGGGACTGCCCATGGGCGGTGCTCAGCTTCTTTTTTTTTCTGCCTAGTGTCCTACTCATGTAGGGGGCAGTATAACTCTATGATCAAGAATATGAAGAGGCTGTGTCAGTCAGTGAACTCGGAGAAAGGGATTTTATGATGAGCAACAAAAAATCCCGTTTTTCAGGTCCTGATGGCTAAACGGAGAAGTGGAATGGGGAAATGTAGGGATGCACTGATACCATTTTTTGATCAGCGAGTAAGAGTACCGATACTTTTGGTCAAGTACTCACCGATACAAAGTACCAATATTTTGGGATGCGATTTGCGCCAATACAAAATTTATGGATGCAAATTGCACTGCAAAGAATAGCATACAATTTGAACAGGAATGCTATTTCTGTCCATAGCCTGAGTTCACACAAAAGCGGTACAGGAAACCTCCCTGCACCCAATCCCACCTGAGCAGAGTGGGAGAGAAGGGTATGTGGGGATATATACCTTGGTGTCGGCCATTGGAGGATGGAGGCAGATTCTCCAGATTCTCAGCAGTAGGAGAGGAGAGAAAGCTGCGGCAATGCCCCAGATTCTCCGCTGTAGGAGAAGAGAGAAATCAGTAGGATTTGAAATCCTTGTGGCTTTCTCTTCTCTCCTTGCAGGGAACACAGTATAGGCTAAACCACTTTTGGTTGGTCAGCACTGTCATGGTGCTGACTAATCAGAAGCCGTCTAGCCTGTACTGTTATCCCTGCAAGGAGAGGAGAGAAAGCCGCAGGAATTTGAATTCCTGCTGCTTTCTTGCTTCTACAGTGCAGAATGTGGAGCATCGCCGCAGCTTTCTCTCCTTGGGGTTCCCCATGGGTTTCTCTGCTCTCAGTATACCTTGATGCACTTAAATGTACACCCAGGTGAGGGCTGTGTTTGACTGGAAAACCCTGAATCATCCCCTCTTTCCTGGAACACCCGTGCATCTCCATGTGTGTCAGTTGGGACACGTGCAGAAATTGACACTACAATTGTCCCTCCGCATTGCACCACACACCAGCTGCCTCGTTGGTGCGGATAGACCCGAAGTATAATTTTTAAATAGGGCAAATTATGGAATAACATTTATGATTATGATTTTTTATAAATCTACTTTGTAAACCAACATCGATAAATTTTTGTGTATGTAGTAACATGAATGTGTGTGTGTGTGTTTTTTTTTTTTTTTTTAATTTTTATGGCCAGTGGGCCCCACTAGCCTAGTTATTGAGGCAACTTTTTTTGTTATCTAGTCCACCTGTATTAAAACTGTGCATAAGACATTAAATAGTAGCTACACTCTGGGTGATCTATGTACATTGCAAGGATTTTACCAACCTTTTGTTTGCACATCCCTACCTTTTGGTATTCTGAAGAAAAAGAGCTGTTTTGTCCATGTGGAAAGTGAATCTAATGGGAGTGGTTTCATAATTATTAATCAGCTGCTGCACTTGCATGGTTCTAATGAGGAAAATTGCAGGGTCTGCATCCCTTTAGACCTGATTTCCTATTGGAAGTATGTCTCCAAAAAATTACTTTTTTGTTGCAGGGGATACCTGAAATCTATCTTGGTGCAAATTTCAAATTGCAAAATCAGTGAGCCAATCACTCAAGCAGGAAATGTTGTTTCTGGGGGTGTTCTGTACGCATTCTGTATACAGAACACCTCCAGGTAACCATATTGCATTGCAATTTACAGAAAATTGCAGTGCTGTAGAATGAAAAGGAAAGGTAATTTTTTAAATAACATTCAACTACAATATGACTTGTCGCAATTGTATATGCTATATATTTTTTTATTTGCTTTTTTTTCCGCATGAGAGTGGAGTTACCCCTTAATGATGCATTTTGCGAAGATCTCATTTAGATGGAGGCTAGCACTTGTACTGCATGCAGTCTACCTGTAATTTGACATCTGCATCTCCCTGAGCAGAAGTACTGCTACAGGGCTGCATGCAGCGGAAAATCACTTATATATACGTGATTTTGCATTTCCAGGTAGGGGACGCGCATGCGCCCTACCCGTGCCGCCATTCGCTGCTGTCAGTCAGCCGGTGATTACTCATCGGTGCCGGGTGATCGTTGAGCATCTCAGACGGGGGAGAACTGTTTGTAAACAAAACCGTTCTCTCCCCTGTCAGCTCCTGTACACTGCTTTGCTTGGCTATGCATAGAACAGCCATGCAAAGCAGTGTGCTTACAGTGAAGCACAAACACAGCCACACAGTGTAAAACAGCACACAGTTAACCCTTTGATCGCCCCACATGTTAACCCCTTCTTGCCCAGTGCCATTAGTACAGTGTCAGTGCTTTAGATCAGCACTCATCACTGTATTGGTGTTTTTTTTTTTTCAAAATTGTTGGTCTTTTTTTTATTTATTTTTTTTGCGCAAAAAATTAACGCACAGGTGATCAAATACCACTGAAAGAAGCATTGCATGACCGCGCAATTGTCAGTTGCAGTAACGCAGTGGCCTGGTCAGGAAAATCTTCAGGAGGGCAAGTGGTTAAAGTAGATGTAGCAGTGCACAAACACTGCTGCATGTCAAAGCTCGACAGCCTTCATGCATGAACGGATGCATGGCCGCTGGACACAGTGTACTGGACTTGAGAGTTAGATGCAGCTGCAGGAGGCTTCTGCTGCTGTGCACATTGTGTTCATACAGCATTACAAACTGTAAATGGGCCTTATGGCCTGAGCATTTTGTAGTTCTCAAATTGGGTCATGATTTGCTTATAGATAAGAATTTGAACACATTACATCTTCTGCTGTTTGGGCACATGCAGTTTAATTCAGGTACTTATATAGTGCCGTCAATTTATGCAGCACTTTACATATATATATATATATATATATATATATATATATATATATATATATATATATATATATATATATATATATATATATATATTGCACATTCACATCAGTACCTAAACCTCAAGGGGTGTACAATCTAAGGTCCCTAACTTACATTCATACATACACTTACTAGGGCCAATTTAGACAGGATCCAATTAACCTACCAGCATGTCTTTGGAGTGTGGGACGAAACCGGAGCACCTGCAGGAAACCCACGCAAGCACAGGGAGAACATGCAAACTCCATGCAGGAGGCACCATGGTCTGGAATTGAACCCACAACCCATTTACTGCAAGGCAGACGTGCTAACCACTAAGCCACTGTGCCACCCAGTCGTATACTGTTTGCAGATCAGTCCCTCAGCCAGTGTAATGTGCATTATGAAAAAAAATGGTGGAAGCAAATGACATCATGAATCAAAACCTACCCACTGAATTCTGGATTGACTGCACTGCTTCTGTTGCTGAAATACTCCTAGTATGAGCTGCAGTGTTTCTGCACTGCGAGGGTTAAATTCTCCTTACATCTAGGAGAAGATGAAAAGGCTGCACTATGTCTTCTCCCTCCAGCACTGTGGGTGGTCCTTCTGCATCATTGCTTACAATACAGGGCTGTTAACCCTGCATCATATATATTTCTCTACCCCTTGGCAAAAATTACCATTTTAAGTAACCTTTGTGGGTGGGGTGGGCAACGGTAGGTATTTCTTGTGCCTGGATTTGGCCTTTAATTTCCTCTCGTCGTCTTTCTTTGATTAACATTAATGTAGTCTTTCTCAATAAATTGGTTACTTCTAACTTTGTATAGACAGTAGGATTCTAAACTAGGCACAATATAGTACCCAATAATGCCTCCCTTGCCAAAAAAAAAAAAAAAGTCTGGCGTGCTTTTAGACCAGTGTTGTGCAGGTCTGTTGTCAAATCTATTTTTGTCTTGCAACCATTACAGTTAAGATTCATGCTGGTTTTATTTTCTTTTTTAGACCCGTTCTTGCAGTTGGTGGCCAAGGTGTGTAGTAGTTGCACATCATCATAATGAGTGAGTTGGAGCAGTTACGGCAAGAAGCGGAGCAGCTGCGGAATCAAATAAGAGTAAGTTTTTTCCATGTGTGACTGAGTGTGTTGCAGCACTCTGTTACAAATGAAAGGGGAGTGGGCTTGGGATTTACAGCATTTTGGGTAGAAGGGAAGTTTTTTTGGGGGATTGAGTGTTTATTACCTTAGCTGCCCTGTTGCTGCAGTGTGCTGAAGATTATATTAACCCATTTAAAATGCGTCAGAAGATTTCACCAATGAAAACGATCAGCCAGCTGATAGCTATGAATAGACATTCACACATACAGTGGGTTTAGAAAAGAATCACTCCCCTTTAAAATAATCGCATTTTGTTGCTTTGCAGCCTGAAATGAAGACAGGCACAGTTTTTGTTTTATCCAGCTGTATTTACTCAAGTTTTTTTCATGCTGTGTTAATCAAAATGACCACAGCTGATCACAGTTGAAAGTCAAATGGCTTCTTGTGCCATTGAGAAGGTGATTAGCTACACATGATTGAGTTTACATGTCATTTTTAGAAGGGGGGTGATCCGTTTTTTTTAACTCAGGGCCGCTTCACACCATAGAAATGCAGTCCGGATGTGTTCCAGATGTGTTTTCTGTGTGCGTGTTTGACACATTCTGGTGCTGTTTTTATGCATTCTGGTTTATTTTGTTCCTCTGTCTTTTTCTTCAACTTAAATACGGACATGTGCATTCCGTTGTGATTTTGATGCATTTTACTGCATTCCAGTACAGTTAATCGAAAAATGCAGCATGTTCTACTCCCCCCCCCCCCCCCCCCCCTCCCCCCCCATCTTTCAGGACAGCACCTCGAGAGCCCTCAGCTCCTTCCCACCTGAGGAAACATCTCCACCCAGAATAAAAGTACGGCCTCCCCACTTCGACCTCAGTAACGGTGTTTCCTCCGGTGGGGAGACATGGGCTTAGAACTCCTCCCGGGGGTGGTCAGAGGATTGCTCTGTGCCTGGAAGATGGGGAATAGGGTGGCGTATAGACGGGGTACGGTCTGTTCAGGTGCACCCCCCCCACACACACACACTTTGCAGAAAGGGTGCTCACCCCTTGGCGCTGGGGGGTATCCCTTACCTGCATCTCGCTCCGCCCTGGCCCCAAACGGTGGGAAGTCCGGGGCGCCTACGCTACAGTGTCCAGGGGGACCGAGGGAGAGGTACCGCTGCCCCACGATGTTCCGGCAGTAGAGGCCGGGCCGGATGACAGGAGACTTCCGGCGGAAGAGTGGGACTTTCTCCTGGGACGTGTCTTCCGGGCGTGTCCCTTGGAAGCGCGGACCGGAGTTCGGTGGTGTGGAGCGCTCCGGACCAGGCGGCACCAGCTTGCCTCAGGTAGGTGGCTCAGAGGAGCCTTGTTTCCCTACTTGTTGTGCCCCTAGCTCCAAGGGGGTGTCCCCAGCCCTCCGGGTGGTTGGAGGGGCTGGGGGGGGGAGGGGTCTCAGTAGTCTTCCACACCCTGCCAGGAGGAGGGGGGGGGTGGCGGTCAGCCAGCCCCTGTGGTTAATGGGAACCCCGGTTCTGTTTGCATATTACAGGTAAAGGCCAGAGAGAAACCCAAGCCTCACCACGGGGCTAAAAGGAAGTGCCCCTCATGCAAGGTGGCCCTCAAAGACTCTTGGACGAAGGTGCTGTGTGAGTCCTGTATTGAGGGGGTGATCAGGGAGGAAGTTCCCTCTCAGGGGGACCTGGTTAAGTTGGTTAGGGACCTGACGGCTACCTTTTTGATTCCTTTAGGTCTCTAGTCGAGAATTTAGCTCTGCCCCAGACACCGACTGCGCCCCCCGCCCCCAGTGGATCGATGGTGCCCCGGCGACCAGTAGGGAGGCGGGGGGTCCAAGAGGCGAATTGGCAGAGGAAGTACTCGTAGAAACCATAAAGAGGAAGTGGCAGGAGCCGGAGAGAGAGCCCTTCTTTGCCAAATCTCTCAAGTGCAGGTTCCCGTTTGACGAAGACTCGTCCGCAGTGTGGAATAAAAGCCCCAAGCTGGACGCAGCTTTTTCTCAGGTAGCCAGGAAGATATACCTTGCCTTTGAGGACATGGGGGGTCTTGTCTGAGACCATGGATAGAAGGGCAGATTCCCTTCTTAAAAAATCCTGGGACTCTACACTATCCAACTTTAAAGCCCGCCATAGCCATTACAGTGCTGGCTCGGAACATGGAGTATTGGCTTACACAGCCACAGGCCCATATCATGGCGGGATCCCCGCAGGACAAAATATTAGCTTCCTTCCAGACTTTACTGCAGGGGGTGGGCTATATTGCAGACGCCTCAGCGGAGAGAGGATGACAGCTAGGTCAGCAGCCCTAACTATGCCCGCAGAGCCCTGTGGCAAGACATGGCAGGGGACATTGCCTCCCAAGTTTAAGCTTTGTTGCATCCCGTTCACAGGAGACTTCCTTTTCAGCCCGGGTCTTGAGATGGTGCTGGATCACACCGCAGACAAGAAAAAAGACTTTCCCCTTAAAGAGGAGTTCCACTCACTCTGTAAAAAAAAAAAAAAAAAAAAATAAGTCAGCAGCTACAAAAACTGTCACTCACCTGTCCCACGATCCCGCGGTGCCCCCGTTTCAGTTCGTTTCACTAGCCGTCCTGTATTCCAGGCGCCAGCATCTTTAGTGTGGGCACCTGGCTGTGCCTAGGCGATTGCAACGGAAGTGGGAGTGGGTACCTGTCAAATTCGAGTACCTGCTGGAGAATCTGGGCTGGCTAGTAAACTTATCCAAGTCAAATTTGGGCCCAGCCCAAAGGATGGTGTACCTGGGCTACGAACTGGATTCCACCGTTCAAAAAAACCTTTCTGCCCCAGGAGAAAATCCTAAAGTTGGATAGGGGAATCAGGCAGCTGCTAGGGAACCAAGCCGTGTCCCTAAGAGAATCCATGTCAGTATTGGGCCTGCTAACCTCATCCATCCCGGCGGCACAATGGGCAGGTTTGCACTTGCGGCCCCTGCAGCTGTTCATTTTGAATGTCTGGGATCGCCTTGAGACAGGAATTGGGTTCTGAGCCAGATGGCAGACTTTCTCAGCAGGAGGCTGCTGAGGGAATCCGAATGAGTGCTCAATGGGGAGATCTACCAAGCCATCATAAGGGAGTGGGGGTCTCCATCCATAGACTTTTTTGCGTCGGGCCAAAATATCAAAGTTTCAGTTTTCTTCTCTCTAAATAGGTGGGACGGGGCATTGGCAGTGGATGCACTAACACAGCGGTGGGACTTTCCACTGTGTTGCGCCTTCCCTCCCAGTCTCCTTATTGTCAGCAGTTCTGAGGAAATTCAGATCCGAGCAAACTTCCCTAGCCATCTACCCTCCTTGGATATTGCCGTGCCGAAAGGGCTTGCTGTCTTAGGGTCTGGTTCTGTGTCCCCAGGTAGACAGGTGGAACCTAGCGGCCTGGTTTCTGAGGAACAACTGCTGAGGAGCCAAGAAGTTCTCAGCTAGGGTAGTATCCACTCTCCTAAATAGTAGAAAAGAGGAGACCCGTTCTATCTACCTTTTAAGGTCTGGAAACTTTTTAACAAATGGTGTGCTCAGACTTTCTTGGAAACATATAGCTTAGTTTCAGTCCTGGAATTTTTGCAGGCGGGGGATGACAAGGGGCTAGCGGTGAGTACACTGAAGGGCCAAGTGTCAGCTCTTGGCGTTTTCCTAGTCTTCCTTAGGCAGAAAGGAGCTGGTGGCTGTCACGGATCCAAACCCACGCACACGCCCACAGTGACTAGCTACCCGAGGCGTGCACTTTCGGCCGTGACTTGGGGTAAGGAGGGAATGAGGGGGACTTACTTTGAGCATATAAGACTGGCCGTGATACACTTTCACAGCCCGCACTGCCACTGGCCACCACAAGAGGGGGACTCCAATCCAGCTGGCTGACCACACACAGGCAGATACAAATCTTATATACAGTCTGGTGCACTCTAAGGGTTGGGGAGCAGTCTAGCAATTGGCACACCCTTCTAGGATTCCTCCAGCTATCCTACAAGCTGGAACCCCAGTGTTAATCACTCTTCCACTGTCCACACACCCCAACACCAGACACACAACAAACGGTAGCTTGCCACCACCCAACAGTTTGTCCGCAGACTGGTCTGCTGGGCCACCACACACACACACACAGATCTCCATCTCGCAGATCTGCTACTTTACAATCTGTATGCAATCTTCCAACATGCAGTGCAATGCATACAGATTGGCAATGAACTTGACAGAGCATATATAGACACTGCAATAAAACAATCTCTCCGGAGAAATGAGCCTGAGCTTAAGTACCCAGAAGTCTCTTATTAATTTTATGATATAATATCCTCAAAGTGGGCAGTGCATAAAACATGTACAAAGAAAAAACAATTACAGAAAATGCAAAAAGACACACAATTGGCTATTCACTATAAAATAAAAGGGAATAAAAACAGAAATAAAACTTTTATTTAGAGTTATCCTGCGACTGGAGAAAGTCAGAGATTCGCCAGTCAAATAGAACCAGCTCCATACGAATCACACTGTCCATATCTCGGGGTCCTCAATTTATTGAAATATGGACGTGGGCCGGACATTAGCCCTTGGCCAATCAACCCTGGGGGTGTTCCTGTACCAGCCCACAGGACGTTCTGGGTTCTGAAGTGCCCAAAGTTGATTGGACCAGGAACAGTTTGAATTACCAAGTCAGGGATAGAATTTCCGACACCAGCGCATCAGTCCAATCACAACAGTACCAATCACGGTTCAGCTGTCGCAATCAGGCGCCATATAACTGTTTTCTGCATTTCTCTGGGATTCTACAGAGGCTACAAATTCAGTTTTACTTGTAGATGGAGCCTACAGTGTGTCCAATCAGAAGGAAGTATTTTTATCTCCCTGCAACCAATATTTTAGCTTTTATGAGAGATGAAATATATTCCTCTGATCTGTGGATATAAATCATAGCTGGCAGACATTTCGGAGCCACTCCTGGTCTCCTGCTGCTTCCCGAAGCTGAAATGGCTAGAGCTCTTCTTTTAGATTTCAAGAAGGTGGCAAACTCTGGCTACATAGGTGACAGGGTTTTATTGACATCCAGGTGTCACCTCTAGCCTAGAAGCTGTTCTGTCCTTTCAGAAGCTAATTGGTGAACATATGTCTCTGACTGAATACTAAACACTTATTCTATTGTAAAGCGCTGCGCAAACTGTTGGCACTAAATAAATTCTGTATAATAATAATAAAAATATCTGTAATAACATGAGATTAAACTAGACCTACGATTACATATTTCTACAGATCACGTCTAGGCTACCCGAATCTTACATTTATGTTACAGTGGTGAGATTCTTTAATTCCTTGACCAGACCGAGACCTGTAAGAGAGACACTTTCCAAAATGGAACCTGACTACAGTACTTAATGTGCTGACAGGCCCCCCCGTTTGAACCTCTGGATTCAAGCTCCCTCAGGACCCTGACCCTCAAGACCGTATTCATGGTAGCAGTTACTACAGCGAGAACAGTTAGTGAGTTGGAAGCCCTGTCAATCAGAGCCCCCTGCCTCCAGATTTTTGCGGATAGGGTGACATTTAGGATGGACTCGGTCTTCTTACCCGAGATAGTCTTGAGATTTCATTGAGGCCAAGAAATTACTTTACCTTTGTTTTGTTCTAACCCCTTGTGTGACCAGGAAAATAAATTTCACACGTTGGATGTTAGAAGATGTGTTCTTTATTTACGTAGGACTAAAGGGATCAGGAAGTCGGATTCCCTTTTTTGTTTCATTTTCAGGAACAAGCAAGGGTTGTAAAGCTTCTAGACGCGCTTTAGCTAGGTGGCTGAGACTGGCAATTAGGTGTATCTGACTGAGGGTCTGGAAGTCCCGGAGGGCATCTGGGCCATGGCAGCCACGTATGCTGAGCTGACTGGTGCAACCTCGGGACAGATCTGTAGGGCTTTTACCTGGTGCAATTACAGCACCTTCATTGAGCATTACAGATTTGACCTGGTCTTGGTAGAAGAGCAGGCCTTCGGACGCAAGGTTCTACAAGCAGTGGTCCTGCCCTAGTGGTGAGTGCTCGTTTATCCTCTCGAGGTGCTGTCCTGAAAGACTGGGAGGGGAAAAAGCAAAGTTACACTTACGGTAATGCCTTTTCCAGGAGTCTTTCAGGACAGCGCCAGTTACTCACCCTTTGTACCATTTGGGTATATGGTACTTTTTTTTTTTTTTTGTGTGTGTCTTGTATTGTGTCTCCCCCAGGTGGCCAGAGGTGCTAAATCAAGAAATGAGGTCTGAGTGGGGAGGCCGTATTTTTATTCTGGGTGGAGGTGTTTCCTCAGGTGGGGAGGAACAGAGGTCTCTCGAGGTGCTGTCCTGAAAGACTCTTGGAAAAAGCGTTACTGTAAGTGTAACTTTGCTTTTTTTCTGGAACGCACTGAAACTGACCACACTGGTGTGAACTATTCCTTTGAAAACCATGTAACCTACTACCAATGCATTTTTTTATGCAGAACAAAAAGGCAGTTTTTTTTTTCTGGCATATTTGTGTTATCTCTTTTACTTGGATGTTATAAGTAAATACAGATGGATAAAACAAAAACTGTGTCTGTCTTCATTTCAGGCTGCAAAGCAGCACAGTGTGATTATTTTAAAGGGGGTGATTCTTTTCCCCATTCTTACTCACTGTAATATCCTCTCCTGGAAAACAGAAGATTCATCAAAACCACCCCTCAAAAGTGAAACTAAAATTAGGCAAATATTGAAATATGCACAAATGTAAAAGGACCTTAATTAAAATTGAAATATCAAACTTCTATAACCACTTGAAGACCAAGCATTTTCACGTTTTGTCTTATACAATATATATATATATATATTTTTTTTTCACCCAAAGAATGAATTGGCAGTCATTTTATTTTTTTTTTTTTATGTCGCATGGTATTTGTGCTGCGGTTTTTCAAATGCAATTTTTTTGGAAAAAATGCACAAATGTAAACAACCCAATGTATACCCCAATTGTTTTTTAAAATATGAAAGAGGATGTTACGGTGAGTAAATGCTAGGTATCCTAACAAATCCCGTTTTAAAATAGTGTATGCTCGTGGAATGGCGACAAACTACAATACTTAAAAAAAAAAAAAAAAAAAAAAAATCTTCATAGGCGACACTTAAAAATTTTTTACAGGATACCGGTTTAGAGTTACAGAGGGGGTCTAGCACTAGAATTATTGCTTGCTCTAACGTTCGCAGTGATACCTCGTGTGCTGCAAAAACACAGTTTACACATGCATTCACTTCAGTGAACAAGCTCAGAGGGATGTGGGCGCATTAAAATTTTTATTTATTTTTTACACTGTCCCTTTTTTTTTTTATCATCTTTATTCCTATTACAAGCAATGTAAATATTCTCTGTAATAGAAATGAGTATGGCAGGTCCTCTTTAACGAGAGATTTGGGGTCAAAAAGACCCCAGATTTATTTTTTTTAAATCTTGCTTAAAAAAAAAAAAAATAAATAAATAAAAATTTACTTCCTGCCCTGACCGGATCTGACATTGCTCCATACCTCCATGATGATAGAGGTGATCAGAGACAATTTAGAGTCTTTCATCTATCTTCCACACTGTCAGATTATTTCTCGGGTTCGCCAGGTTTATTGGTAAGCCTGAGAAACACCAGTGTTCCAGTAGCTACCGTTTTTTTCGCTCCATAAGACGCACCTGACCATAAGACGCACCTAGGTTTTAGAGGCGAAAAACAAGAAAAAAAAAATATTCTGAACCAATAGACTGCAGACATAGTACAGGGAATGACCAGAGACTGCAGACATAGTACAGGGAATGACCAGAGACTGCAGACATAGTACAGGGAATGATCAGAGACTGCAGACACAGTACAGGAGATGACCAGAGACTGCGGACATACTACAGGAGATGACCAGAGACTGCGGACATAATACAGGAGATGACCAGAGACTGCGGACATAGTACAGGAGATGACCAGAGACTGCGGACACAGTACAGGAGATGACCAGAGACTGCGGACACAGTACAGGAGATGACCAGAGACTGCGGACACAGTACAGGAGATGACCAGAGACTGCGGACACAGTACAGGAGATGACCAGAGACTGCGGACACAGTACAGGAGATGACCAGAGACTGCGGACATAGTACAGGAGATGACCAGAGACTGCGGACATAGTACAGGAGATGACCAGAGACTGCGGACACAGTACAGGAGATGACCAGAGACTGCGGACACAGTACAGGAGATGACCAGAGACTGCGGACACAGTACAGGAGATGGACCAGAGACTGCGGACACAGTACAGGAGATGACCAGAGACTGCGGACACAGTACAGGAGATGACCAGAGACTGCGGACACAGTACAGGAGATGACCAGAGACTGCGGACACAGTACAGGAGATGACCAGAGACTGCGGACACAGTACAGGAGATGACCAGAGACTGCGGACACAGTACAGGAGATGACCAGAGACTGCGGACACAGTACAGGAGATGACCAGAGACTGCGGACACAGTACAGGAGATGACCAGAGACTGCGGACACAGTACAGGAGATGACCAGAGACTGCGGACACAGTACAGGAGATGACCAGAGACTGCGGACACACTACAGGAGATGACCAGAGACTGCGGACACAGTACAGGACCAGACCAGAGATGCAGAGGCGGACACAGTACAGGAGATGACCAGAGACTGCGGACACAGTACAGGGATGACCAGAGACTGCGGACAGGAGAGTACAGAGATGACCAGAGACTGCTGCAGACAGGAGTGAAGGGACACAGTACAATAACCAGAGACTGCAGACAGTGCAGGGGATGACCAGTAGACTGCTGACCAGTTGCAGGTGCAGGGGGACCAGAGACTGCTGACCTTTGGGGGGGAGGGGGAGCGGGTACCTGAATTTGACAGGTACCCGCTCCCACTTCCGCGGCGTTTCTTTCCCTCTTCTTCCCGCGCCTGCTTCTGTGACAGCCGGGTGCCCACTGCGCATGCGCGAGAAGCGCTGCGCTTTGTGAATGGCCCGGCGCCTTCTGGGACCTGTCGTGTCCCAGAAAACACTGGACCATTCACAAAGTGCAGCGCATGCGCAGTGGGCACCCGGCTGTCACAGAAGCCAGCGCAGGAAGACTGTGCAGCTCTGGAGCGAGGAACAGGTAAGGCCCTGCAGGAGAGAACAGCTGAGCGGCCGGGCCGGCCCGGTATTCTGACATGGTGGCGGCAGAAATACCGGACCGGACGCTTTATATTCGCTCCATAAGACGCACTGACGTTTTCCCCCCTTTTTTGGGGGGAAAAAAGTGCGTCTTATGGAGCGAAAAATACGGTAATTAGGCGCTCAAACAGCTTTCATCAGCCAGCCATTGGCTGAAAAAAAAAAAAGATACTAGGTTTATGGCTGATAACTTCAGCCATAGCCACGGTAAACCACTTGAAAACCGCAGCCTTTATATATATATATATATATATATATATATATATTATATATATATATATATATATATATATATATTGCGGTCTTCAAGTGGATAATCTTTTAGTGGTGTTCTCGAAGTGTGTTTCTCCTAAATAATATTGATGCTTTGCTGTGTGCAGTTCAAAGGGTAATTAAAAACCACTGAAAATGTCAGTACTTTGTGCAACATAAATATTTGACTGTTGAGATGTTAGGTGAGTCATCTGTTTGCATGGTTCTTCTGTTAGGCAGCATTATTCCTTTGGATAAGCAAATGATGTCCATTAACAACTCTTAATCATAGATCCTCTTTTTCTTTTCTGTTAGGATGCCAGGAAGGCATGCAGCGACACAACTCTTGTTCAGGTACATAAATGAATAAAACACTGTAATTTGTTTATGTGAGCTCTCTAAACCTTTCCCCTCTAACATTGTACATTACTCTTTACATTAGATCACAACCAGTTTGGACTCCGTAGGTCGGATCCAGATGCGAACTCGACGCACATTGCGAGGTCACTTAGCTAAAATTTATGCCATGCACTGGGGTTCAGACTCAAGGTATGTGTTTATATGAAGCTGCTGTAGTGCTGTTTCCTTGTTTAGAGGCTGCTTGTTTAATGGAAGCTTGTTTAACCTATTGCCAACTGCATAACGCCTATATATGTTGGCAGAAAGAGTGAGCTTTTAACCTCCATTATGGTTCCAGCAGCATGAGGTTGTGTGCTGGAAGACCGTGGGCAGCCATGTTGCTTAGGTGGATAGTTCTCTCTACATGGAGCTCCTGTTAGGCAGCAGCAAGGGACACAGAGCAGGATGTCCTTCTGGGCACACGAGTCCTTGGTGGGTGGGGGGGATGTGGTTACAGGCAGCCAGTGTGTGCTTTGACCTAGCTTAAGTGTTGCAGCATGCTCTCTAGGCTGTGACAGCTGCTGATTGCTGGATTACAACTTGCATAATGCTGAGCTGGCAGAGTAAGTTTTTTTATTTTTTTTTTTTTTTTTTTGGATCACAAGTTGTATTTCAGTGCGATGAAGGTGGACAGGTTGGTGTCCATAACAAGGGACCCGCATGTGAGTGGTGTAGATGCTCTGGTGACTCCTTGTGGGACCATTTCTCCATGATCTATGCCTTCCCTCTGGTTCAGCTTCTACCTAGTGTCTTGCGCAGGATCCAAGAGGAATCAACACCAGTGATATTGGTAGCCCCCACTTGGCCCAGAAGGTCTTGATATGCCAATATAGTAAAAATGGTCTGTGGACACTTCCAGTAAAGCCGGACCTGCTCTCCAAGGGTCCAATATTCCACCCTGCTTTTACGGTCGCTAAATTTGACGGGTTGACTATTGAAGCCCGAGTCTTGAAAGATCGGGGGGGGGGGGGTTATTTCTACTCTGCTGTTTCTAGAAAAATCTATTAAAGGGTCTGAAAGGCTTACATTTCTGGTGTGAGGCCAGGAAATGGTGTCCTCGGAAATATGTCATTGAGAGAATTCCTCCCTTTTGCATTCTGGTGTGGAGATGAAATTGGCCTTGGGCACTATTAAGGGTCGGTTTTCAGCTTTGTCTGTATTTTAGGTCCTTGGGACCTAAATTTAGTGTTGGATGTCTTTGAAGAAGCAGCCTTTTGAACCTTTTTGAGATATTCCACTGGTTATTTTTACCCAGAAAGTGTTTTTTTTTCTTTATCACAGTCACTTCAGTAAGAAGGGTGTTGGAGTTGACAGCACTTTCTTGCACGGAGACATTTTTAATTGTACACCATGATAAGATGGTGTTGCGTCCTAATCCATCTTTTTTGCCTAAAGTGGTTTCTAGCTTTCACTTCAATCAGGACATTGTCCTACCCTCCTTTTTTTTCCCTGAATCCTTGATCTGCAGCAGTGAGATTGCTGCATTCTCTGAATGTTGTACGAGCTGTCAGGTTCTATCTGACAATGTCTGCACAGATCAGAAGATCCAATTCTTTATCTGTGCTGTCGGAAGGGCTGAGGAGAGGGCAAGCGGCGCCTATAGCAACTATTTCTCATTGGATCTGTCAGTTAATCATTCAAGCCTACAGCTCCCCCCATTCGGGTTAGGGGACACTCTGCTAGAGGTGTTGGAGCCTCTTGGGTGTTTTGTCATGAGGCGTAGGTGGCTCAGGTTTGCAAGGCCGCTGCTTGGTCTTCGGTACATACATTCACAAGGTTCTACAAGGTGGATGTTAGGGATGCATAGGATACGGCCTTGTCTGATGGTGGTTTTTGTGATTGTGCCTCCCTCCCCTTAAGTATATTGCTTTGGGACATCCCAGATAGTACTGATTATAGCCTGCTCTGTGTCCCATGATGTACAATAAAGAAAATTGGATTTTTTTCTACATACTTGCCTGTAAAATCAATTTCTTGGAGTACATCACCGGACAGAGAGGTCCCTTCACTCTTTCTGGGATTACATTGCTTGCTACAAAACTGAGCTACTTTCTGTGTGGGAGGGGTTATATTGAGGGGGATTTCCTGTTCTGGTCTGCCAGTGTCCATTCACCTATAGGTGGTGCAAAATCAAATAGTAATGATTAAAGCCTGCTCTGTGTCCTGTGATCTACGCCAGGAAATAGATTTTACAGGTAAGTGTTCAGAAAAAAAACTTCAGTTTTCTGAGAAAACCGGACGTGATGTAAGGTCATCGCTTCCGGGTTACTACGCTGCTCAAAAAAATTAAAGGAACACTTTTTTTAATCAGAGTTTAGTATCAAGTCAATTAAACTCCTGGGATATTAATCTGGTCAGTTAAGTAGCAGAGGGGATTGTTAATCCGTTTCAGCTGCTTTGGTGTTAATGAAATTAACAGGTGCACTAGATGTGCAACAATGACATAGACCCCAAAACAGGAATGGTTGTACAGGTGGAAGCCACTGACATTTTTTTCCCTACTCTTCTTTTCTGACTGTTTTTCACTAGTTTTGCATTTGGCTAGGGTCAGTGTCACTACTGGTAGCATGAGACCAGAAGGTTTGCTGTGTCTCCCAGCACAGTCTCAAGAGCTGGACAGGGCTGTAGAAGGTCCTTAACCCATCAGTAGGACCATTATCTGCTCCTTTATGCAAAGAGGAACAGGAGGAGCACTGCCAGAGCCCTACAAAATGACCCCCAGCAGGCCACTGGAAACAGACTTCATGAGGGTGGCCTGAGGGCCCAAAGTCCTCCTAGTGGGATCTGTGCTGTCTGCCCAGCACCATAGAGCTCAATTGGCATTTGACATTGAACTTCAGAATTGGCAGGTCCGCCACTGGTGCCCTGTTCTTTTTCACAGATGAGAGCAGGTTCACCCTGAGCACATGTGACAGACGTGAAAGGGTCTGGAGAAGCTGTGGAGAATGTTATACTGCTTGTAACATCGTTCAGCATGACCGTTTTGGTGGTGGGCCAGTGATGGTCTGGGGAGGCATATCCATGGAGGGATGCACAGACTTGTACAGACTAGACCAGTGGTCGGCAAGCCGCGGCTCGCGAGCCACATGCGGCTCTTTACCCACTCTAATGCGGCTCTTCTGTGTGCCGGGCGCCTGCTCCCCTCCCTCCTCTCGGTCGGCCGCTCCCCTGCCTCCTCTCGGTTGGCCGCCCAAAAGTCCGCGCGGACCTTTTAATCCGGCCCGCGGATGTGGCTGTCAGGATGTGTGTAGGCGGGGCAGCGTGCCGAACGTGAGGGGAGGGGAGCTAGGCTCCTCTCACAGTCCGCCCTGAAGACCCGAACGGCGCGGGAAGACAGCGAGAGGAAAGGTAAGTGAATTGACACGGGGGACTTGGCTTACTAGAAGGGGGGGGGGGAATAGTACTGTGGGGGATGAAATACTATATGAGGGATGAAATACTATATGGGGGGATGAAATACTATATGGGGGGGATGAAATACTATATGAGGGATGAAATACTATATGAGGGATGAAATACTAAATGGGGGGATGAAATACTATACGGGGGATGAAATACTATACGGGGGATGAAAATACTATACGGGGGATGAATTACTATACGGGGGATGAATTACTATACGGGGGATGAAATACTATACGGGGGATGAAATACTATACGGGGGATGAATTACTATACGGGGGATGAATTACTATGGGGGATGAATTACTATGGGGGATGAATTACTATGGGGGATGAATTACTATGGGGGATGAATTACTATATGGGGGATGAATTACTATATGGGGGATGAATTACTATGGGGGATGAATTACACTATGGGGGATGAATTACTATATGGGGGATGAATTACTATGGGGGATGAATTACTATATGGGAGATGTATTTTCAGTTTTAAAAATGTGGCTCTCAAAATAAATTTCAATCATGGTTTTGGCGAGATTTGGCTCAGTTGAAAAAAAAAGGTTGCCCACCACTGGACTAGACAATGGCACCCTGACTACCATTAGGTATCAGGATGAAATCCTTGGACCCATTGTCAGACCCTACGCTGGTGCAATGGGTCCTGGGTTCCTCCTGGTGCACGACCATGCCCGGCCTCATGTGGCGAACATATGCAGGCAGTTCCTGGAGGATGAAGGAATTGATACCACTGAATGGCCCCCACGCTTGCCTGACCTAAATCCAGTAGAACACCTCTGGGATATCATGTTTCGGTCCATCCGGCGCAGCCACGTTGCACCTCAGACTGTCCAGGAGCTCAGTGATGCCCTGGTCCAGGTCTGGGAGGAAATACCCCAGGACACCATCCGTCGTCTCATTAGGAGCATGTCCCAACATTGTCAGGCATGCATACAAGCATGTGGAGGCCATACAAACAGAGTACCATTTTGAGTTGCTGCAATGAAATTTCAGCAAAATGGACTAGCCTGCTACATCATTTTTCCACTTACTTTCAGGGTGTCTTTGAATTCAGTCCTCTGTAGGTTGATCATTTTATTTCCATCAAACGATGGGGCATCCTTACATTCCTAACACATTACCCAGTTCCATATCAGGATAGATATCCAGCATGAGATTTTTCCGCATTGGGATCTAATGTGTTTTCAAAGTGTTCCTTTCATTTTTTTGAGCAGTGTATATAACGGAGCCAAACAAAGACGAGCTGGTGGTAGCATCAGCTGGTCAATAGGGAGTCCTGGTAGGACGGGAGATCCTGTCAAAGTGGCGAGAGAGGGGGGCGTCCCCTCCCTCTGTTTGTAATAGCAATCAAGTTAGCCACTCAGATTGCTATTACAAGAAAGCCAACGGTTGGCTGCTACTGGTATAAGGGCTCAAACTCCAGCAACGTATGGGTACCTTGGTGGAGCTGAATTTAATATTCCTGCCTCAGTTTATCATTCCATTTTGTGTAATACCTTCATTTCTCTTGCATTGTCTGTAAAACTTTAAAAAAAAAGAACAAAAAAAAAAAACCCACATTTTTGTGAAGCAAAGCCAGCACTGCAGCGTACACAGAGAAGGTGTGGCTATAGCTATAAAAAAAAAATAATCAGCCTGACAGTGTTTGTAAGTAACACTTGCTCAGGTAGGATACACTGTAACTTGTTGATACTTTTGTATCATTTAACCTCTGATCAAAGGGAAAAACTCTGCTCATGATAAAGCAACCTGACAAGTAAAAAAAAAAGTTTTTTTTTTTTTTTTTTTTTTTTAATAAAATGTTTTTCTTTTTAACCCCTTATTAATCCTTAGTTCACGTTAATCAGTCCTTCTCATCCATTCAATTATTTTTTTGCTAATGTTTTTTTTTTTTTTCGTTTCTATTTTATTAAACATTTATATTTATCTTATGTTTATTTTGTTCTTTATTATTTTTAAACATTATATTTACACATTTCACATTTTAAAAGCACGCAAAATTTAAAAAAGTTTTTTATTTGTAAACATCTTTGCAATGCTTTGTACCAGAATCATAATTTTAGTGTCATTTTAAAAAGGATAAATTACAGAATAAAATGTACACTTTTTATATGCAATAATACTATTCATTTTTAAACTAACACTAGTTAAAAAAGTGAGTTTTGTTCCTTTTTATATTGTCTTAGGATTGTGAAAAAAAAAATTGTTGCAAGACCAACCTTGCTTAGTTGCAGTGCAGCTCAGTTTATTCTGGCACAGATCATGTGATCATGACTGAGCTCCTGTGCATGTACTGGAGTAACGTCATCCCACACTGGCCAATGAAGACGGCGAGGGACGTTGAACCGTTGAAGGAAAGTTTACATTTTGGGGACTTGATTTCAGCTTTAAAGGGGTTTAAAATGCTAGTTTAAAGATGTTTATAGCCTTGTGCAAGCACAAACGTTTGGAAGGGGTCATTGGTGGACTCCAGAAGCTAATAGAGGAGGAAGACAGACACTATAGAAGTACTTTTTTTTTTTAAAGGTTAACATTAAATCAAAGAGATGGTTGTGCAATAGTTGGATTTAATGAATGGGCATATTGATTGAGCTTTGAGGATGACAAAATTACAGTTTGATTTTCTTATCGAACTGTCTCGCAGGAAACTTGTTGATTTTACCCTTGGATATATTTCCACAGGCAGTTAGAAGATTTGTATCTAATTTTCAGATTTTATCATCTTGAAATAAATGTATATATATATTTTTTTGCTATCCAAGTATAAGCCTGCTATCAGGCTATGCTTTCATATTCCTGCTGTTAGAATAGCATTGCTGCTGAGCACAATTTTTTTTTTTTTTTTTTTTATTATTATGTAGCATCAAATCCTATCTTGTCTCATGCTACAGTATCTTATAAACTTTTGCTCTGCCTGGTAATTCAGTGTTTCTAGACACACTTACAGCATGCATATCCTTATATCTGAGGTAACTATGAAGGGGCAGATGCCTAGCATTTTCTTACGATGACACTGTAGACCATCCTTTTTTTTTTTTTTTTTCTTCTTCTTCTTAATAGACTGATGACGTTTTCCCAAAATTGGTCATACAGGAAGTTTACCGGGTAGCATTTGACTGTTCCGTAGTTTTCTATCTGAAAGTAGAACTACAGATACCATGACCCTTCAGTGCCTGTTGCAGGATGTATGATAATGCTTCTCAGTACTGATCTCAGTTGAGTCAGTGATTTTGTTTTGAAAAACAGAGATTTCCCATATAGCTCATTTTTACTTTTATACTTATTTAAGTTCTAATTATTAAACTCCCCTGTATCCCCTTTTTAGTTTTAATTGTGTATATTCTTGAAACGTGTTTCCTTTTGTCTTTAGGCTATTAGTCAGTGCATCCCAAGATGGAAAATTAATTATCTGGGACAGCTATACAACAAATAAGGTAAAGTACTTGCCAGATTTCAGACTGATTTTTTTTCTTTTTAATGGTTGCTTTATAAATCTTTAGATGATTGAGTACTATGATTTGTGTGTAGCGAACAGTGATGCAGTTTTTACTCACCTGTACATAGCTGTGGCAGCTAATTTTGTAAATGAGAATACATACAATTGGTCATCATCACCACCAATTAATTTTCAGCCTTTTTTTAGAACTGTCTAGCATGTGAAGCAGCTTCTTCTACTGGGAAGGTGTCTGGTGCAGCTGGCTCTTCTGTCTTGCCATTTAAAAAATGATGATCGTAGTAGTTCATGCAGAATTTACACAGTACTGTTAGGAGTGTGCTTCTCTGACTATTTAGTCAGAGGTCACCTAATTTCTGACAGTTGCTGTCCTGTCAGCTGCCTAGCTCTGCAAACTTTGAATATTGTGGTCAAACAGAGCCCTGTAGTCAAAAGTTCTGTGCACATCTAGAGGGCTCTGATATGCACTTATGGAAGGTATTAAGCATTGCCCCTGCAGGATCAGGCAATGTAATGTCCTTTCTGGAGGGTACAATGTAAAGATGTTAATGCTGTTGTCTACTTTTTGTACCGGTAGATGCATGCTATTCCTCTACGGTCCTCCTGGGTAATGACTTGTGCTTATGCTCCATCTGGAAATTACGTAGCTTGTGGAGGTCTAGACAACATCTGTTCCATTTACAATTTGAAGACGAGAGAAGGCAACGTACGAGTGAGCAGAGAGCTGCCAGGACACACCGGTAAGATATATCAAGCTAGGTAACAACTACGTTTAAACAGGTAATCTGATACTAAAGTAAATTACCTGGGTCTTCCACATGGGCATCACAGATTTGACTTTTATAAAAAATATAGACGTTCTCTAGTATACCTGAATTCAAGTTGGTCTGCCATCAGTTGGCTAAATATACAGTGGAAATGTGTTTGTGGTACTCTTTTTGCCCCAGCAAATTTAAGCCACAAACAAGCAAAACTGCATCTGAAGCCAAGAAGTTTGTTTTTTCTCAGGCCTTCAAGTCCAGGACTCATGGCAATCTCAGATCCTGGATTTCCTAACCTACAGACAAATCCTTTTTGCAATGAAGGGACACCCCCACTTTCCAAAATGGGGGAGACTCTTTTGGATTTAACCACTTGCCAACTGCTCTATAGCAGACTGATGGCTACACCGCGGTTGTCCAGTTCTGGGAGGGCGTCATGTCGTCTTCCCAAAACACGCCCTCCCGCGTGCCCCAAGGGCACGCACCCAGCGACCTCCGTGATCGCTGTGTCCTACGAACACAGCTGATCATGTGATATCGTAAAAGGCTAATCACAGCGACCTTTTACCACGTGATCAGCTTTGTCCAATGACACAGCAGATAACCAGGTAAATACAGTTGCCGGTTATCAGCTGCACTTTCCTTTCGCTGTCACAGCATGAGAAAAGTACTTCCGAGAACCAGCAATTGTCAGCGAACAGATCGGGGGAGTGATTATCAGTGACCTGATGAGCAGTGCCGCCCACCTGTGCCTAGCAGTGCCACCCACATGTGCCCAGCGGTGCCCCTCATCAGCGCTGCCCAGTAGTGCCGTCAGTCAGTGCTGCCTATCCGTGGCCATCAGTGCTGCCTCATTAATGCACATTAGTGAAGGAAAAAAATTACCTCTTTGCAAAAATTTTATAATAGAAAAAAAAAAAACTTTTTTTTGCTCTTTTTTTGTTTATAGCACAAAAAATAAAACATCCAGTGGTGATTAAATACCACCAAAAGAGCTTTATTTGTGTGAAAAAAATTAAAAATTCATACGGGTACAGTGTTCCATGACCGCGCAATTGTCATTCAAAATGCGACAACGCTGAAAGCTGAAAATTGGCCTGGGCAGGAAGGGAATATAAGTGCCCAGTAGGCAAGTTATTAATGAACACCTGGACTTGAATGCATCTCATATGGATGAGTAAAAGACATGCGGTCTAGAAGCTAAATGCTTGAGTCTCGCTCTCTGCCTCCATCCTGTTTCACGTCCTCCAACCTGCCTGTGTCTTCACCAAGACTAACCTCTACTGTTCCAGAAGCAAAAAAGTTTAATGGTTTCAACTCCAACCTCTTCACCGTTCTCAGTCAGATGGGCTTTTGACCACTCTTGGATCTGAAGTCACTCAACATTTTAATTAAATCTGCATCAGTCTGATGCTGTATCTGTACCCCGCTGGCTCTAAGGGTGAGAACTCAGCGATCACATGACTGCTGAGTTCACAGTCGCTGTGAGCAGAGAGCTGTGACTGTCAGTCACTGAACTGCACTCCTGTGATCCATAGGAGAAGTACTTGCGTGGCATCCACTAGGACTGTGATTGTCTCCCTTCATCAAAGAGACTTTCTAGCCTCTTTGGATATCAAGGATGCTTGCTAGCATGTCCCTGTCTTATCAGTGCTACCTGCTTTTTGCTGTGGCCACACAAAGCTACCATTTTTTGAAGCCTTTCCATTTGGTGTGTCTTCCAAGTCCCGAATATTGACCAAGGTGTTAGCCCTTCTGCGCTCCCAGGCATTTTCATAGTAACATACCGAGACAACCTTCTGTTTGAAGAACAGTTGGTACAGCTGCTTTAACAGACACATGGCTTGGAGTTATTTGGGTTTCTTTCTTGATACTGCTTAGTCTGGAATTTTTACTTCCCAGACAGACTTCAGATTCTGACTCTACAGTCCAAGAATCGCCCCGATTTCTTCACTTCTTCATGAGAGTTCTCAACCTTCTGGTGGTCTCATTCAAGATGGTTGCATTTGCCTAATTTTGCTCCATGTTGCAATTTTTAAATTCTGGCTGCTTGGGACAAGAACGCGCAATCTCTGAGTCAATGTGTCTGAAACCCAAGGTCAAACATTCTTCCTTCTGTTCTGGAAGATTCACACGATGGATGACACAATGTGGAGGAGTCTGTCTTCCATCCTGACAGTGAAAGGGACTTGATCGTTGGTGGAAGCTCATCTTCTTTTCAACTTCCTGGAGCTCTGAACAGTTTCTGGCTGTCCTTTTTTTTTAACACTGCGCCTCTCTCCTGCAGGGCCATCTGATCAGGGTTCAGTTGGACAATGCCACATAAGTGGCATACAGTGAGGAACAGAAGTATTTGAACACCCTGCGATTTTGCAAGTTCTCCCACTTAGAAATCATGGAGGGTCTGAAATTCGCATTGTAGGTGCATTCCCACTCTGAGAGACAGAATTTAAAAAAAAAATAATCAGGAAATCCCATTGTATGGTTTTTAAAGGATTTATTTGGCTTGCACTGCTGAACATAAGTATTTGAACACCTAAGAAACAGCAAGGATTCTGGCTCTCAAAGACCTGTTATTGTGCCTTTTAAAAAGTCCACCTCTACTCCACTCCTTAATCTAACTTAATAGCTGTCTGAGCTCTTTAAAGACACCTGTCCACCCCACAGTCATTCAGACGCCAACTACTACCATGGGCAAGACCAAAGAGCTGTCAAAAGACACCATAGACAAAATTGTGGACCTTCACAAGGCTGGAAAGGGCTACGGGGCAATTGCCAAGCAGCTTGGTGAAAATAGATCAACTGTTGAAGCAATTGTTAGAAAATGGACTGGGGCTCCATGCAAGATCTCACCTCGTGGGGTATCACTGATGATAAAAAAAAAAAAAGGTGAGGAATCAGCCCAGAACTAAAAGGGAGGAGCTGGTCAATGACATGAAGAGAGCTGGGACCACAGTTTCAAAGGTCACTGTCGGTAGAACACTACGCCGTCATGGTTTCAAATCATGCATTGCACGGAAGGTTCCCCTGCTCAAGTCATCACATGTCCAGGCCCGTCTGAAGTTTGCCGATGATCCAGAGGAGGCATGGGAGGAAGTCATGTGGTCAGATGAAACCAAAGTAGAACTTTTTGGTCTAAACTTCACTCGTCGTGTTTGGAGGAAAAAGGATGAGTTGCATTCCAAGAACACCATCCCTACTGTGAAGCATGGGGGTGAAGCATGGGGGTGGTAACATCATGCTTTGTGGGTGCTTTTCTGCGAAGGGGACAGGACGACTGCACTGTATTAATGAGAGGATGAATGGGACCATTTATTGTGAGATTTTGAGCAACAACCTCCTTCCCTCAGTCAGAGCATTGAAGATGGGTCGTGGCTGGTTCTTCCAACATGGCAACGACCCAAAGCACACAGCCAGGATAACCAAGGAGTGGCTCCGTAAGAGGCATATCAAGGTTCTGGAGTGGCCTAGCCAGTCTCCAGACCTAAATCCAATAGAACAGCTTTGGAGGGAGCTGAAACTCCGTGTTGCTCAGTGACAGCCCAGAAACCTGACAGATCTAGAGGAGATCTGTGTGCAGGAGTGGGCCAAAATCCCTGTTGAAGTGTGTGCAAACCTGGTCAAGAAATACAGGAAACGTTTGACCTCTGTAATTGCAAACAAAGGCTTCTGTACCAAATATTAACACTGATTTTCTCAGGTGTTCAAATACTTATGTTCAGCAGTGCAAGACAAATAAATTCTTTAAAAGTCATACAATGTGATTTCCTGAATTTTTTTTTTTTAAATTCCGTCTCTGAGTGGGAATGTACCTACAATGTGAATTTCTGACCCCTCCATGATTTCTAAGTGGGAGAACTTGCAAAATCGCAGCGTGTTCAAATACTTCTGTTCCTCACTGTATATCATTCATAAGGAAGGAACCAGGGGTCCTGCTGCAGAAGGCGTAGCAGAAAGAATTCTGTTGTAAGAAAAACTTCATGATCCAGCCTTCTCCACTGTTCATGGTCCAGGTGTGGACAATTGGCAAGCTGACTTTCGGAGCCAACAGCATTTGGATTCAGACGTTTCTTCTGCTAAAGGTGGGGAGACCGCAAATGTGGGCCTCCTGGCCTCCAGATTCAGTAACAAACTGAGCAAGTTTGTATCCAGAAGCAGAGATTCTTTAGCATGGATGCTCTGGTGGATCCTTGGAATACGTACAGACTGATCTATGCTGTTGTTCCTCTGAAGCTCGTTTCCTCTCTTCCGCAGGATGGGGACTGAGGACATTTAAGTAAGAAAGAAAAATATAGATAGATTATTTTTGTTTGTTTTTTATTACACCAAACTGGCCCAGGTGGATGTTGTGCTCTGACTTTCTACTAAACACCCTGCTGTAAAATCCACTTTTGCATGATAGATAAGGAACATGGTTACAAAACCCTATGCTCTTAGAAAACTGAAAAAAAAAAAAAAAACGCACCTCCTCTTGCACTGTTGCGTACCCACTCCACAAGATCAGTTTGAGTGTCTTGGACCTTTAGGTACCAAGCCTCTGTTGCTCTACTGTGCAAGTCCATCACCTTGTCTTCTGTCCAGACTTTCTCAAATATTCTGCAGATGCATCTTTTGGCTGTAAGGTTCTTGGAGCGGCAAAGTGAACTTTGGTCTTTTAACTCCTCTTGTTTTTTGTTGGCACAGTTATGTTTGCCTAGTTGTTGCTCACACTTTGTATTCATTACTTGGGGAGGTGCCATGGTGTATGAAAAAGTTGGTTGTGTCTTGTACTGTATGATTAAAGTGGTTATAAATTCTATGCATGAAAAAACCGGTGTGCGGCAGCCCCCCCAATACTTACCTGAGCCCCTTCGTGATCCAGTAATGTGCACGAGAGCCTCAGCTCTGACCCATGGCTCCCGCTGCTGTAAATCATCATCCAGTGAGGAAAGGGAGAGGGGGTGGGGCTGAGCCACGACTCTGTGTGTGAATGGACATGCAGAGCAGCAGCAGCTTGGGAGAGAGCATGCTTAGGTGCCCCCATAGCAAGCTGCTTGCTCTAGGAGCACTCGGCAGGTGGGAAGGGCCAGGAGCGCTGGCAGGGGATCTGAGAAGAGGAGGCTTGGGGCTGCTCTGTGCTTAACCACTGCACAGAGCAGGTAAGTATGACATTATGGTTTTTTTTTTTTTTTTTGGGCTTTTTTTTTTCTTTTAATATTTTAAAACCGGAAGAATTTTGACTTTTGACCTGTAAATGCCATATCTTGAAGTACACTACAGGACACAAGCCAACCTCCCTAAACATTCCTTGTTACTCTGCATTACTTCCTACAAAACTGAGGACTCACTGAATGGAATACGGTTATAGGGGAAGGCGACTCGTGACATGTCTTCCAGAGCTTGCCAGTGTTCAGTCACATGGAGGTACAAGCTTTTAACCCATTGTGTTTGAATAAGTTGCCCGTGTCCTGTATGATTTAAAATATGGAATTTACATCTAAGTCAGAATTCTTTTTTTGTTGTAAAATCTGTTTCTTTAAGTTTATTAAAATGGGCACAGGTACCATTCCTCTGTGTTTGATATACTGCTAATGCTGCTTTTCTACAAAACTGAAGCATCCTGGGAGTGTGTGTGGGCGGGGGGGTGTAATACCTGACTAGCTTGTGGCGTCTCTTGTTTGCTAGTGTCTACAGTACTTCCTCCTGAAGGCGGCAGTATAACCCAATTACAGCTGGTACTTAAATCTGTGGGTTTTTTTTTTTTTTTTTTTTCCCTTACATGTCTGCTTGGAATTATTATGCTGTAACCTTGACCCCATCAACTATGTCCACCCTCCCTTTCCCTACTGTTGCTATAAATTCCAGTTTGTTTGTTTTTTTAAATTGTGCTTGAGAGAGACTTCACTGGGACCCCGTTCATCTCAAATAGGCCTTGTTTGCTATTCATTAGGATGTCAGTCCAAGGCAGAGCAGTATAATTCTGATACTTTGTACTTGCTGAGCTTCATTTACTCTTCAGGTTCTGTTGTGCTATGCTTGGGCAATACACTATCATTTAGATTCATGTCACATAGCTCTCCTGTCACAGTGTACAGAACCCTTCCACTTAATGCAACATGTTTGCTGCTCTGTCACTAAACCCATTTTATTACCTTGGACACAACACTTCTGCAAGAAGTAGTAATTAAAGAGAAAAGCCCCAGTCTGAAATAGGAAGCACCCGGGAAAATACCTTCTGTGAATACAGTGTTTGTAACAAAGCGTGATAGGCCAAGTATGTGTGTTGGTTTATGCGTTTTTTTTAACTATGGATCAATTCAAACTGTAGACTACGTGGCTGTGTAGACACAAAATGTGGTGTGTGTAATTTTTTTTTTTTTTATTATTAGTAGTGCTTGTCATTGTTTTGTAACATCTGCTTCTCTGGGTCCTTTATTTTTACACTTTTTTTCTTTTTTGTTCTCAGGCTACCTTTCATGCTGCCGTTTTCTAGATGACAACCAAATTGTTACAAGCTCTGGAGACACGACTTGGTAAGTGAAACCTGTTTACTTTTTAATAAACATTAAAATCTAATTGCATTGCATTATTTTTGTTTGTATAATAGAATAGTTACCAGTGTTTCAGCATTGCAGATCATGTAACTACTTGCTTGCTCATGTAAACCAGTACAAACCATTTACTACTCATTAAAGCACAATTCTTAAAACCCCAATCATAGTACTGTACATAGGGAGCAAGGTATGCTTCTGGGTGTTTTCTTGATCAGAGGTGGGGGGGGGGCTGGATTCTTGCAGTACCCAAGGGTAAAAACGCTTTTACTCTCCACTTGGTGGGTGTCAACCCTGACCGTTTATGTATTCACTTGTCTGTTCTGTTGAGATCTTCACTATGTGGCTTGCTTAGTGCTGTACAGCCACTTCCTCCACTCCATGGTGCTTACAACAGAGGGTTTTAAAGAAGAGATTGTCCAGTGCTGGAAGAAGCCTCGTGTTCCTAAAATCTTGTAACTTTTTTAATATTTTTGGCTGCCTACTAACTGATTTAATTTTGGACAATACTTGGTTTTCTGTGTTTGAAGATGAAATAGTTACATTTTCCTAATTGGAAAGTACAGGACACAAGCTCCTTTTTAATTCTTGACTATGGTTATATGCTGCCACATTCAGATGAAAGCACTGGCATATAAAGTTGTTGGGATAGCTCCTAGACCCTATCTTACCCAGCAATGCACTTTCTCAGTACCCAGAGCTTGCTGCAGGGAAGACACTGGGCCAACCTGTAAAGTTGCCTTTTGTACTGTACACTGTTTTGGCATTCACCCTCAGTACATTGCTACAGCATGGTGTAGCTAGCTGCAAAGCAGAAGATCCACAGGTCCAGAGCAATGCTCATCCAAATTTGGTAGTTCAAGTCCCAGAAGACCCTCTCCGTGGCTGAATGGATATTTCCTTCTAGTGTGGGCAAAGTGGAGAATTTCTATCTTTAGTGGTCTTTCCCCTGTGAAGCTGCCTATATTCTAGTGTGGGGAGTCTGGAGCTTAACCCCTTCCCCTGTGGGGTCTCCCCCAACCCTCTCACACCCAGTATCCTTCTTTCCCCAACAGCAGCAAAAATCTCTTGTGCATAACTTTGTAAGTACCCCACATGGGATTTTCGGCACCCTCATGAAAGATGGCAGACAGAAGGGAAATGAGACGAGGAGAGAGGACCAGCACACACCATGCACAGGACCAAAATTAGTTTATTCATGTGAGGTCCAGAGACCCAGATGTAGAGTCCCCTCATATCTCTTTGGGAGGTTCCCATTCCTAATTTTAACTAAAGAGGAATTTTCAGTCTGTATGTCATAGGATACATTAGAGTAGAAAAAAAAAAACACCTGCCTTTAGAACCACTTTTAAATGCTATAGTAATCATTATTTTGCATAGGCTTGGTCATGATTGGTATTTTTTTTAATAGACAAACGAAATTGAAATGTAAAGATTGTAGTTTTACAATGTGATGAATGTTGACTTTTTTTTTTTTTTTCAGTGCGCTGTGGGATATAGAAACAGGGCAGCAGACCACAACCTTCACAGGACACACTGGAGATGTGATGAGCTTGTCTCTCAGCCCCGACATGAGGACTTTTGTCTCTGGCGCTTGTGATGCTTCTTCTAAGCTGTGGGACATCCGTGATGGAATGTGCAGGCAGTCATTTACTGGACATGTGTCTGATATTAATGCAGTCTGTGTAAGTTGAACATAACTGTAAGAACACAGATGAATATTAAATCGGTATCAAAAACAAAAAGGGGGGGAAAAAATGCAAGCCTGAAAATAGAAAACAAATGCTGCCATCACATTTAAAAGGGTTAGTTCACCTTTAAAAAAGCCAAAAACTTTATTTTCCTGTAAAGGGGGATCCATAATACAACTAATTGATACAGTATTTGTTCAGGTCAGGTTTACATCAGGTTCAGGTTAGGATTTTATCTTGTTCACAACTGATGACGTGTGGTTTAGAAATGGGTTCCCATAGAAGTCAATAGACTGTAATCTGCACCTGAACTGGACCATACTGCTCAGAAATTGTACAGGACTCTTTCAATCCACACTGAATCTGCACAGCCAGTGCACTGGACATATGTGAACAGGCACCATAGGAAACAATGTTTTTTTTCACGTCATTGAAACCACATTCAATCCGGATATGTGTAAACCGGCACTAAAGGACTTGTCAAAAATGTGTGTGTTTATGTACTTTTGAATTTTCTTAATGAATGGGTAAGGGATACACAATACTCCTAATAATTCTCAAAGGGAGGAGGGGGTGGTATTGCATCAACATGGTGACAAGATTCTTTCCAGAGATCAGGAGGGTCCTCCCTGACAAGGTAACCCTCCTAATGTTGAAAGCATTTGGCCTGGTATGGTTCCAGGGGGGGAAAGGGCCTGCCAGTCAGTTGCTCCAGGTAGTCCCTGGTTCTGCAGGACCTTTGGAATAAGAGTGCAGGGCTGAGGTGCGCTGACCATTATTTGCACTAATCATACAGCCCTCCTGTTTGCAGCTACAAGTGGCCTGTTTACCAGCCCTGCAGCTACCATTTTAATTGTGGGCATCTGCCTTTTGTAACTTACTGCCGAGAGTGGCATCCCCTGCAGTATGGGAGGGCAGTCTTTCCCCTTCACCCAGTGGGAGTAGCAAGCTGCTGGAACATGTGACTGGGGCTTTCGTCTGAGGGGAGTTGTTCCTGGTCTTTTTGATGAGGTGCTGAGTTTTGAGTGTTGAGCCTGCCTCTGAGAGGGTGGTCTTGCTGGTCGGTCACTGCCTGAGAGTGATTGTCATGGGCTCCAGACAGTACGCAGTACTGCTCCTGCTTTAATTTTCACTGTCCTCCCCTGCACCGGCAGGTATACAGCTTCCCCCCCCCCCTTCTCCCCTTCCCTTTTCTGTTCCTCGTGCACAGATATGCATTCTATACCTACTATACTGCACTCATGGGGTTGACAAACAGTCCATTTGCCATCTTTTGGGGGTTAAAGGGGCCACCATCCCCAAGGCTAGCTTTTCAAGGATGCGTTAATCAATTTGTGATCTACCTCTCCAATAGTGGGTGTCTGTCTTCTTTCTGGACCCATCAGTCAGACAGATGGAGAGAATCGTAATTATATGGACGTGGTTTGTGAGCCTTTACTCACCCGTTTCATCCACCTTGGCTGCTGACCTACTGGAGCTGATCTGTGGATCTGATTTCCAAAGATACTTAATGATGTGCCCTTGCAGGTTGTCGTTCCCCCTCCCATTTAGCGTGACTCTGGATGAGATAACAAAGAGCATTAAGATGGAAACTGCGCATTTTCCACCTCATGCTCTGAAAAGTAAGGAGACTTGTCGTAAACTGGCCTCTTCTCCATTTTCAAGACCATGTGAGGCGTGAGTTTCACACATAGATGGTGCACTTCGTGATCGTTCCCTACGTTTAGAGGACTATCTTCTAGCCTCATTCACCATCAAGGACTCTTATCTCCAAGTTCCCATTTGCTGCATCCACCTGCGGTTTGCTGTAGGAGAACTTCAGTCCCAGTTCGTAGCCCCACCTTTGGCCAGCCATAATTGACACAAGTCTCACCAAGTCTAACTGTGGTCTTGGCTCTTCTACTCCTATGCTGGTTTTCAATTGTTGGTTACCTAGACTACATGCTCCTGTGAGCATGGTCTTCATCGGCCTTGGAACACAATCTACCCGTCATCGTTAAGATCCTGGGAGATCTTGGATGAACTCTGGATCTACGCAAGTCAGTCTTAGTTTCCTTCTTCTTATTTGGGGCACCTGGCTCTCATTCTCGTTCCCGTAGGAAAAATTTTGAAAGTTGCATCTTCATGTGCTTCACCAACCTTCAATGTAGACCACATCCATCTATTTTTGCATGAGATTTCTGGACCATATGACAGTTTCCTTCAACGCGGTCATATATGCACAACCTGTCCATTATAAAAACTTTGGAGGACCTAGACTGGTTCCTCCATCTGCTCAAGTTGGTCTTGGCTCCTTCTCCCAATCTGAAGTACTTGACTCCTTCTGGACACGTCGTCTCCTCCCCTCTCTATGGACAGCGTTCATTCACTTTTACAAGAAGATTGGCAGGGAGGTGGCATCCTTCAATGCGGTCCCATATGCACACCATCACACCAGACCTCTTTAGCAGGAGATCCTGGCCAAGTGGAACAGAGTTCCAGGGTCACTGGATCTTCATTTGCCTGTCTGTCCTGACCAAGGCGTCGCTAACTTGGTGGTTTTAGTTGCAGATCCATTCAGGATCACTGGTCCTTGGAGTCCAGCTTCCTCGTCGATTGCCTTGGTCTCCAAGTGGTCCATTTCTTTCTCGTTCATTGGACTACTCATCTTGAGGGTTGCCCCAAGAGGGTGCAGTTTGATACTGCCACAGCATGTGGCTTACGTCAATTGTTTGGTTGATAGTCCTGGGGGGGTGTCTTGAATTCTCGATTGGGCTTTGTGTCCTGGTCCCTTTTCAGTAATTCACACTCTGGGAGCGGACTTCTGGCAGGCAGACTCTTAGTCGCCAAAGTCTGGACCAAGAGAATGGTCTTTGCACCCTGCAGTAATTTTCAGAGTTGCTGGTGTTGGGATTCCTCAGACGTTGACCTCTCGTGGAAGTACATTTGGAAGTTCCTCAGGTTCATGGCAGAGTCCAAGGATCTGGATTTGTTCCTTGGCACAAATACTCCATAATTTTGTCTTCCCTCCCCTGAAATTTCCTTCCTTGGTTATGCAGTGCTTGGTTTGCGGATCTTGTTTGGCTGTTTGCACCTTGGCTGCTTCTGCTTCTCCTGGACATTCTTTTAAGATCTGATATTTCTCCCTACTTAGTCACTGGCTTAATTGGCATGGCTGTTGAGAGCCAGTTGTTGGACAAGGGCATACCCTCAGCTGTTGCTTGGGCTCCAAAGTTTACTTCTCGACTTGTCTATTATCGCACCTGGTAGGTCTACTTTGGGTACCATCCCTGCAAGTTTTTGGTTGCCCACATTCTGGTTTTCCTTCAGTGGGATGTGGATTGTTGCCTTGCACTCAGTACAGTTAATGGCCAGGTTCCTGCTTGGCCATTTTTTATTTTTTATTTTTTTTTTTGCAGGGTCCTTTTGGCCTCCTTTTTCCCTGGTTTGCTCCTTTTATCCAGGGGGTCACTTGGTGGTTCCTTTCTCTGTAACTCTATCACCTCGGGACCTGAATCTAGTTATGTTGGCCTTGCAATGTTTTCTTTTAGGAATATACAGGATATCGCTCTTATCAACTCTGTGGCTCCTTGGAGGCCATTTCTTCTACTCGTGTGCCCATGGTCAAAGCTCTCTTCTGTAAGCATCCCCTTTTTATGCTGCATGTGGCAATTTTTAATTTTTTTTTTGGCCACAGGTGGTGTCAGCCTTTCATCCTGAATACCATTTTGCCTTCCTTTGCTCATCATTCCAGAGGGTTCTGAACAAGGTCAAGCTGCCTCGTCTTCCACTCTTTCCAGCTGGATTCATATTACGGTGAACCAAGCCTATTCTCCTTTGGGCTGCAAGGCTCTATTCCCAATTACGGAATATTTTACGGTGCTCAGAACATGCTGGACTTTTTGTCTGTCTTTCTACTTCTGTTCAAGTTTGCAAGGTGGCTACTCGGTCGTCTGTTAACTTTTACCTAGTTTTTCAAGGTTGACGTAGCTGCCTCAGCAGGTACCAGCTTGGCCGGAATGTTTTGCAGGTGGCAGTCTGAGTTCTGCTCGGGTCCCTGTTCTGTTTTGGGTCCACCCCTTTTTCTCTGCCTTTCTGCCACTGCTTTGAGACATCCAATCCAGGAAAAAGTAAACTGTGCCCTTCAATGAACTGTAGAGAAAATGAGATTTTTTTGTACTTACAGTAAACTCCTTTTCTGTGAGATTGATGGACACAGCATCCTGCTCCTGAAGGTGGGGACATCAAAATCCATCTATGTAGAAGTAAGCTGTGTCCTTCAATGATCAATGTGGGTCAGATAGTTAAGGCTATCTGTATCGGCCCAGTCTGATTTTAACAGGTGAGGATTTGGGCATTATTAATAATTCGGTAAAGATGTCACATTGGTAGAGGTAATAACATACACAACTGTACCAAGCAGTCACCCGGGTGTAATGCTTCCTGTGCTAGAACAAAAAATGCAGTAGTTTGGCACTTTGAGCGATAATGGTGTGATCTTTCTTAGTATAATGCTAAAAAGCAGTAGTTTGGTATTGGCTACCTACCGATCTTTCAAAACACGGGATCATACACTAACACTTAAGGGTGCAAAATCTGGTGCAGCTGTGCATGGTACCCAATTAGCTTCTAACTTCGGCTTGTTCAATTAAATGATCAGTTCACCTTTTGTAACAAGTTACACCCATATTCAGGGTGTAATCTGTTACTATAACACTGGTCCCCACACACAGAACCCCCCAAAACGGCCCCTCAACCCCCCATTGTGACAGCGAGCGGGGGATCTTCTCCCCCCACCCACTCTAGCTGTCACAATTTTTTAAAAAAGCAGGTGGGCGGGGCTCCGGATGCCTGACCGCGTCATTCATTCACAATGTTCTATGAATGCATGAACTACAAGTCCCTTGTAGTTCTCAATGAACTACCAGAACGCTGTTGAGCACTCTGGTTTGGTTGCTTATTGATTCTTCTGGTCAGTGTGAAACTGCCTGCCCCAAATTGACATCTGTGCTGGTGCGTGCCCCTGAACTCGCACACTGCGTCCGAGGACACACACCCAAGAGAAGGTCAAACTGGGAGCAGCGGCTTTGTTTGTGCAGCCACTATGTTCCAGTTGACATGAATAGGACTGCCTCCAGGTGGATATGCAGAACACCTCTACATTCAATGCAGGCAAACAGTCCTCGCACAGCTGTAATGCTTGCATACACCCGTGTGAACCAGGCCATAAGTTGTGTTGCGGATCTAGATGGTTAAGGAGCTCTGTCAGTAATAAGGGGAAGGAAAGCATGTATTAGCTCTGTTATTATGATGATGTCCATTTCATTTTGTTTCAGTTTTTCCCCAATGGGCATGCCTTTGCTACCGGCTCTGATGATGCAACATGTAGGCTGTTTGACCTGCGTGCAGACCAGGAGTTGATGATGTATTCGCATGACAACATAATTTGCGGTATCACATCGGTAGCGTTCTCTAAAAGTGGTCGTTTGTTACTAGCGGGATATGATGACTTCAACTGCAACGTATGGGACACTTTGAAAGGTGAAAGAGCAGGTGAGTGTTCAGTTTACGGATACCGTGGGATTGATATACTAAAGGAATAGAGCATGTTCACTTTGGAACGGCTAATCATGGAAATTTTAAAAAAAAAACTTTTTTTTCTCCAGCTAGGAATTTTGTAGGTCTTAAAGTACAATATATGTAGAGCCAAAACTTGTTTTTATTTTTCTAAGGAAAATTACTCTATAACGTGATTAGGTTTTTTTTTTTTTTTTCTTTTTGCTGCCTGTGTCTTGTGGGGTATATTTTACTCCCTTCAGAACATGACAGAAAATCCCAAAGTGAGTTGAATTCCGATGATATTTGTCTCAGGAATGGGTGCCCCATAGGAGGGTTTTCCTTCACCTCTTGCTCTGTTAACAACTCTGAATTTTACCTCGGTTTCTATATCTGTGACAGTGGTTTTCCTGACAGAGACACAGGGAAATCAATTTGAGAATGGGTCTAAACCTTCCTTACTTTCTCCAAACAAAGAAAAGGCTTTCTATACACCACTCAATAAACAGGCATGTTTTGCTTGCTGTCCTATAGTGTAGTATTTCTCACAAAAAACTTTGAGTTGGCTTTTACGATTATCGAGTTGGATAGTGGTGGACGCTTTTGCTCAATTCTATCCACATGTATATAGCTGAATTCTATTTCAATGGAATTATACCTTTTCTTTTTTGTTTCTTTTTTTGCCTACAGGAGTCCTTGCTGGTCATGATAACCGAGTGAGCTGTTTAGGTGTAACCGACGATGGCATGGCTGTAGCTACAGGGTCTTGGGACAGTTTTCTCAGAATCTGGAATTAACTTGGGCAAAGATAGCTGATCTTGTTAATTCTCCACTGAGATCTGGAGAGGTCAATGCTGCAGCCTATAGCTGTGAAATAACATTTCTACCTTGTATTTGCAGGTGAAGTTTTTCTATTCACTGATTATTATTACACAAAAAAGGCTTTCTTTAAACTAGTAAAAAAAAATCAAGTTGAGGTCATAAAGGGTTCAAAGGGGGTAAAGAGCACTGGTGACTATTTCAAAGGGGCTAGCACACAGGATCATGGTGACTGAGAGCCTAGGAGCCAGTCTTTATTTTGTGGCTTGGTTAAGTTGTTTTAACCCTTTTGCTGCTAGAAAAGTCAGTTTTGCATTGTAGACCTTTACAGCAGCCACACGGTTAAAGGATTTCTGCTTTGTGCTCAAAGTCTGCTGAGTCTGTACCTATTTTTTTTTTATTATTATTTTTGTACATACCTGAATGTACACACTATAGCAGCCGATCATGTAATGTTTGTATGTAAAAAAAAACAAAAAAAAAATACAGAAAAACAGAAAAAAAGAAATATTGCCTTTTTTTATTTAAAGAATACGAATTGCTTTTTTTACGCCACAATAGTTTAGTGATAAATATACTTGATTGTTGTATTTTTTTTTTTTTTTATTCTTTGTGAACTTGATGTGGATGAGATGAATCATTGCTCTGTGTTTGTATCCATAAAGTTGTAGTGTATCTTCACATTTAGACAGGCCAGTTTGTATATCCTTTCACACTGTTCCCTCACCCTTTCCTTCATGCGGCATATTGGCCATGATAATTTGCTGTACTGATCCCATTGTGCAGTACATATGCAGGAAATGTGTACCCCACTAGTCTAATTCCTGTCTCGAATGCACTAAATGTAAATTGCTAAAATCCCCATCTACCTGCACTGAAAAAAGACTTGAACTTCTTTTTTTTTTTTTTTTTTTTTTTTTTTTGGGTCCTTTTTTCAAAGCAACTCATACATTTTAGTGATTTTCTTTTTTCACCTTCTCACGTGACAATCATAGATGAACAAATCAGTTTACACCTATTAACAATTTTTATGTAAAAATTCTATCCTAGATGACCCTTAACTCTTCATTTCTAATATTAAATTGTCATGGCTTCATGAAAGCTGGCCAGATAATTATTAGAACTACTGCATTTCTGCACAGTTGCTTAGTATGCAGTAGCAGCACACGTCGATGTGAAATCACCTAACCTTTTTGTAATTGTCATTTTTGTTTTTGACTTGCCTTCTGTAACACTTTTGGATATTGGAGTGTATGTGCAGTGTAAGGCAGTAGGATTTTTAGATTAAAGGAATATGAAGATTTCTAAATCTGAATTGATGTGGCCAAGTTAAAGTGCACTTTTTCAGTAAGAATAAAGTTCATCAGTTAGCTGTATTGGGGCTGTTTCCATTGGTTAATTGAAATAGAATTGTATAAATTGTAATAGCACCTCTCTAAGGATATTGTATTGTGGTGTCAGGACAGTGGGCCGGTCTTACTTGCCTTGCTGAAAAGCTGCTATTAGGGTTTGAATTCGGGCCTTTGCACCTAGACTATCTATAGACTCTAGTACCCTGTTATGACATTTTAGACCTGTCTTCTCCAAACACAAGCATTTTAAGCTAGTTTCTTAAAGGTGACATACGTTCCACTCAGTGCACTTCCATGTTTGCACCAGTTTAGGATAGACCATAGAATAACTCATTGACTTACATTCTAGTGACCTCATCATTGACCACCAACCACCACCCCACCCTGCTCAGGGTAATGCATTCCAAGTGGAGATGGGATGCAGGCCAAGCATGGGTGCCAAATGATCATCTTCTGCATTTAGCTGCCATAGAGGTCTAACCTCAGCTAGGTGGTACCCTTGGACAGCTGATAATCTTTACCCTATTCTAATGAATGTGGGTGACCTTTGTCTGCTGCCTACACCCCAGGGAGTTAGATTTTAGTGTGACCATTTATCATTGTTCATATATGCCTGCTAATCCATTGAAAAGCATGGTGGTATTGCATAGACATGTTCATCCATTGTTTAAGTTGAACAGCCAGTGAGGGGCTTTTTCTCATGACAGATGTGCAGGTACTTCAGATATTAGATGTCAGGTAGATGTGCACTTTTTTAATGTTAAATACTTCTGTCACAAGCATGCATTTCATTCCTATAAAGCAGAGCGGAGTAGTATGGTCATAAGCACTGGCTTAGATTAGCCATAATAGAAAAGGCAACAAAATGCCCAGAGATCCGTATGATGGTGTTTTACATCTTTAAGACTTTAAAGCTGGCTTTGTGTCATAATAATATATAACCTTTTAAGGTTTACTATATACTTTACATTCTGGTAAAATGTTGTAAAAACAAACTATTACGTTGTGAGTTGCTTGCGAAAGACCATAATGTTGAAGATCACAGTTACTATTAGATGGCCATTTCAGCTTACATTCCAGGAGTAATTCACTTTATCAACTTTGTGCTTGAGCGCTTGCTTGAGGGGGGCTCCACCATGGCCCCCTCCTGTTATGTGCCAATGGTATATGCTTCAGGGTTCTTGTTCACATTCCTCTATATGGTCCTTCTAGCATGTCCAGAGCAAAAGTTCAGAAGGTGCAAAGAGTGTTAATCTGCAAACCTGAGCACAGTGGACTGACAGCTGATTCCCCAGCACCCCTTATATCTGCCAAAAATGAAGTGTAGCCTTTTCCGGAAATGAAGGTCTAAGAGCCAAAACTACTGTAAAATAGGTACAGTGTTTTTTTTTTTTTTTTTTTTTTTGAAAGATGATTTAGGTATGTAGCTTGGTATTGGAAATAAACCATAGTAAAAACAGAGGTCTCCAAACCAGGGCCAGATGACTCCCTTTGCTTGTCTTTATCTGGCCCTCGGGACAGTTTTCCTCTCATTGATACAAGACTTCTGCCAACAATGGGACACCATTTCCCCCACTGGCACCAGCATTGGGGCATTATTCCTCCCCCTAATAGGAAATGTGGAGATGTACACTCGCTGATGCCAGGAAAGCTTCCAATCCCGCTGGCCATAGTCTGGCCCCCCCAGGTATCTGAAAGGACAATAGACTGGCCCTTTTTGTTTAGAAAGTTTGGAGACCCCTGGTAAAAACATTGACTTGTATTGGGTTTTTTCAGCAAAGAGGTATGAGGATGATGTGTTGAGTGCAGACGTTTGTAAGAAATCACAGAAATGAAAGGTGATTACTGAATGCTACTGTGAGGTTCCAATACTGTACACATCATAATTTCTCTTTACGCCTCATTAATGAATAAGCACGTTGGTTGTAAAGCACCTAGTTGTCAATGGGTGGGAAGAAGCTGCCCAGTGCCAAAACAGCTTGCCCTTTGCTCCCAGTACATGGTCAGAGCGGGCAGAACCACCAGTATTGTGAAGGCATGTTGTGACATCAATGTTAATTTGTCTGTACCTCAATGATGTCACTGGTTTTTAATGAAGTTTTCTTTTTGATAATGTTTGAGCCAACAAAACATCTACCTTTCTTGTATTCTTGTGTGATTTGTTAAACAATGATTGTTTTTTTTGTTTTTATTATTATTACTGTGCCTCTCACCATGTTTCTAATGAAGAAAGTGCCAAGCAGCCAGACAGACCTCTACATTCTAGAGCACTTTTCTGCCCAAGTATTCTAATTCATTGTAAAGGGACCAATAGGTAATGGTCATAATATTGTAGTGCACTGGTAGTGTCACCTCCCCTTCTAGCTCACAGCTTTTTTTTTTTTTTTTTTCTTTGCATGTTTGATCTAGATCTGCCAATGCCACTGAAAATGTCTGTTGAATAGATTATAAATTATTCTTAAAGCTGAGTTCCAGATTTACAGTCCATTTAGTTAGTTTTGGCCAAGTTGGCCCAGACAAACTATCATCTGCACTAACAGGTTTGCCACACTGGGCACACTGTATAAAGCGTATGTAGTCTTACATAACATATACAGCACTGTTCCGGCAGTGGGATGGGAACTTCTCTCCTACTTCTGAAACAAAATAGATTTGGTCTGAGCACTGCTCATCCATTCATAGGCAGCTTTGTATTCTCTGAATGAATAGTTTCCTTTTGATTGGCTGAGTTGAAGATCGTGACGTCATGCGCCCACTTAAGCTGATCACATGAAGCGGTGTATTTATTCTATGAATGGCTGAGTACCACTCAGCCCGACTCAGCCCTGAAGTCCAGGTTTGAGACAAGAAATTGTGTAAATTCAGTTTATACAGCGTTCCGTTCCCAGCAGGTGCATCTGTTGGTGTAGAAAAGCTGGCCTAGGCAAACAGTGACTGCAAACTTGGACTTCAGCTTTAAGATCCCCTTTGAGCACAAAACTGACTAGGCATAATGATTATAATCCTTTAAAGCGGAATAAACCACTAAATGCATGGCTGACATACAGATATACAAATCTGTCTCATCCAATCTTCTGAAACAGACACCTGATGCACAGGGACTGCCAGTTATGTGAGCTCTCTATTGCAGTCCACCTATAGGACAGTTAATCAGACATACGATGACTTTGATGCTGTCTAACAGGCTATAGTGGAACGTGCAGAGCTGAAATAGTGGTCTCCTCCTTGGCTGTGCAGCGCGGTACAAGGCTGTAAACCACAAGGTGGGCTGAACAAAATGAAACCTATTTGGGCAGGTAAAACAGTTGACCGATTTGTATGTGAGCTGTGCATTTAGTGTTTTTTGGCATTTTACTCTGTGGTTTTAAGTATACCTAACCACACTGCCGTGCCATTGCCTCATCCTTTTAGTCCCCAACCTTCAAGATTTCTTACATAAAACAGTGGCTGTGTTTCTGTTGTAGTACCAGGATATCTGGGTGTCAGTCTGGCTGGGCTTTGTGCAGTGCTAATTGGAATATCCAGAGCACTATAAATATATGCGTTTTTGGCTTGTGTTGCTGTGAAATGATTGAGAGTAGTAAGCAGGATTTTCTAGTATTTTATAAGAGTACATGTGAAGTTTA